TTCACCTTCTCTCTTGGGTTTGTGTGCTTTGGGCATGGAAAAACGGGATAAATCACTTAGGAAGGCGGCTGGCTGTTGAAGTGAAGGGAGACAACCATCCGATTGATGAGCATCGACTCCAGTTTATTGATCAAATTCGACACCTTTTATAACAGTGCTTATTCACTTCATGCATATTGCAAAACCTGAGCTCCTGATAGGCTGTAGAGAAAACTTCAGCTCCTCCTTTTGTTTACAATACCTGAAGTTAGTTTATTGAAACCAAGATCAGTGTTCTCACCGTGATATGAAAAGTTCTCAAAACCTTTATATCTGTTCCCAAAACAGCCATCTGTTCCCAGAGCAGCCAAGGACAGGATATCTGCCTGTTTTTGAGAGAACAGTCTGAGAATCTTGTTGTTTATATAAATGGTGGCTGAGAACCTTAATTATTTACAGAATCAAGCCTGGGAAAGGCTGCTCTACAGCAGCCCCCTATCCTTCCCTCAGCTGAATGCCTTCATGGCCTCTTTCTTCAAGCCATGCCTGAACCAGGCTCTCCACAGCTGTCCACCTTACTCTCCACTTGGTTCTCTTGAAGGGCTGATCAGAGGTAGGAGTTAACACAATTCTGCATTAGTCTCATTTATTTTCTAATTCTGCAGAAATTAATATTTGAGCACTTAAAGCAAAATTTGTCAGCTGCCTTCAGTGACTGGACTAATTCTGCTGTTAAACAGCTCTCTGACCTGAACTGAAGCATTTGCTCCCCTCACATCTTATCCCAGATAATTTCCCAGTATTTTTGTGTTCTGGCTCAGTTAGGTACTATAGTTGTCTACTCTTCTTTTTTTTCTCTTTATGACTTCTGAATATATCTAAAGATCCAATGTTTAATTTGAAGAGAGACAACAGTACAACTGTGTAATCAAAGATTAAAGAGGAATTAAAGATTACCAGATTTATATTTTCTTTTGACTGCTACCATTCAAAGTTTTATACAGGAGTATGAAAAAGACTTTCAGTTGAAACTAGGAAATGCGTTTTTCCACTGTCCCTAGCTGTTGCACTGTTTCATTTTTATTGCAGAAACAAATAATCAAAAACCTCTGAAACAAAATAAAACTGTGCAGAAAATCATATACAGAATATTTAAAGCCTGCAGAGTCCATGTGTGAGTTTAACAGACGAGATGGAGAGTTGCTTCTTTTTAGCAATTGTTCAAAAAGTTGGTTTTTTTCTTTATTTTTTTTTTTTTAAATTTGTCTTTTTGACAGTTTAACTGCTCAACAATCTCATGTTCTGGAAAAACAGAACCCTTCAACTTGCAAAGTGTGCAGATAACCTGAATAGCTGGAAAACAGTTTTCATAAGGAAAGAGGCCGATTTTTCAGCACAAGTTCTAGTGAGCTCTGCTTTAGTGGATAAAATGCTGCTCTCAGAATTGTCAGCACATGGCTCTGGTTATGTGCAATGTAAGCAGTGTCTCTCTCCAGTATGCTTTAAATTTTCCCTCTCTATAATGCTCCATGTAACTGTAATTCAAATTGTCCTTTCCTAGCAAGACCAACAGTTGAATATCATAAACAACAGGTTTTTTCTGAACATTATGATGAAAATTTGTATTCAAGCTCTTTCATGGGCAATTAGAAATTCTGTTCTCCCATCTGAGATTTCTTTTGCAGCAGAGTTCTCTGTTGTGTAAAATACAAATGTCCAGTGCTGGTTTGTAAGTGGGTGCATTTACTTGCACAGTTTGCACCCCAGATTTGCAAGGGTTGTGTCTGTCAGTGTGATTTGTAATCTCTGCATTTATCTAATGGGATTACAAATTCAGTTTTTGTAGAATCATCTCTGGTTCTTTTCACAAAATTCAACATTCAACCTTAATTGTCACTTTTATTTTTATGCTAAAAAGGATAATTTATTTCTGAGGATTGAACATGTAAATATCCCTATTTTACCACTTTACAGTGCTAACTGCTTTTAGACAAATGAATTACTAGGGAGAAAAATGATTATCCTATACAAAATTGATGGAGAAAAGCTATTCTATTGACTCAAAGGTAACCTTCAAAGACTTGTGTAAGTTACCCATAAAATTAATGAACTAAAATAATTCTGCATGTCAGAGTAATGAAGCCTGATTTATGCTGAATTGTGCTGTAATCAGTTTTCTCTGAAAGCATGTCAAAGGCTTCCCAGGAAATGGTGCATTTTAATTAGAGTTTTAGAGGGAATATATGCAGGTGCTTTCTGGAAGGACTCTTGGTCATTGCATATCTTTTACACTGCTAAAATTAGAAATAGTGGTTATTGCAGAAGCTTTTGTAACACATTAAAAACCATGTACCATTACAGTATGTGGTCATGCACACAGAGGATTGTAGATCTATTGTAATTAATTCCAGGCTAGTTAATCAGAGGAACAGATCAGTTGAAGTTGAGTGTTGTCTCAAGGATGGAGAATTTGCTCCAGTATGAATTTGTAAAAAAGAAATTGGAATAATAAAAATATCATGAAAAGGAGCTTGTGCTCCTGCCCTTTCTAGTATTTCTCATAACTGATTTTTTCATTTTGGAATCTGTGGTCTGACTGACATGATTGAGTACAATGAGCATCCTTTGAGATCTGATTATCAGAGTGGAATCTCTGACAAAATTTTCAGGATTTCTATTTAATATGGAGCAGGACTTAGAAAAATGTATTTCACTTTGTCATGCCTGTGCTTGGCATTACAAACATAATAAAGATGAAACTTTCAGGTATTTTAATGTAAATGTTTCCTGATAAAAATGGAAAATGGGTATATTTTGTAAGAAGTTCTGCAAGAGCAAGTTATTTAATACATTGATGCTTTTGCAATTTATGTTCATGGTAAGGCAGTCAGTTCATTTTTTTAAAACTGTGTTCTCCTTAAGAGTAAAAGAAGAGAGAACTTGGATTCTGAATAAGATTGTAGCTTGTAAATTGGCAGAACTTGGTTTATAATTTCCAGCATAACAGCTATGAATTTATGTTCCTGAATTATGCATTTTCCAATAGAAATGTATGAGTTTGCTACTCTGCTGCCCTGTAATTTGTAAATCTGCAGTAAGTAGGTAAAAGCTCAAAATGAAAATATACTCTCTCAGTGGTAGGAAAACACAGAGCAACTCAAGCAATAAAAAGACAGGTTCTGCACATAATTGTGCCTTTCTAAACTGTTAGACACCAGCTACTGCTGAATTTATCAATTCCCAGCAGTGTCTGGAGGGCTGCAAACCCCTCCTTGTCCCCATGCCAATAAGCCCTTGCCTTTTGAGGGGAAAACTTGTTATTCGTGTTCTTATGAACTGCAGCTTTTAGCTGAACAACAGCTTTTAGCAAGAAGCATCAGTAACATCTTCTCAGTTCTCAATGTTTTTGCTTGGAATTGCATTTTTATCTTGCAAGGGAGAGAAGTACAACTTTGAATTTCCATCTAGTCACAGTAATGCTTCCTTTATTTATTGCATGAAAAGAGCATTTTATCCCTTCAGATATTTTTCTTGCTTTGCATAAGATAAAGGTTCACAATACCTTTGGTGGATCAACTTGTTGGTGTAACTGGGGTTTTACATTTTTGTCTGTTAGCTACAGCATGACTTCATAAGTGCAGGTGTGGGTTTTTGAGTAGATTCTTTTCTCAGTGTTAAATAACTAAAGAAAGCAAGCTCAAAGCTGAGGAAAAAAGAAATAATGCAAATATTCTGGGTTGAAGCTATCCTCTGTTTCACAAAGATAGAGTCTTTTGGATTTATCAGGGTAAATTTAAACCTTAATGGTAAGTTTGAATTTCCTTTTTAAATATTTCTTGTCCAGAAGTGATAACTTTCTTTGTTTTCTCACAGTGCACATTAAGAACATACTTATGTATTTTGTTTTGAACCCCTCAGTTATTAAATATTTCATCAGATAAGTATGGGTGGTGAAATTAAAGCAGTGATATCTTTGACATTATCTTTACATGATCCCAAAGCTCAGTAAATGGACAGTAATGCAGAGTGACAGCTGCTCTATTAAAAACCTAATTAAAGTTCATGGGACTCTCATAAAGCCTCTGTACAGTGATGGATGTGAAACCTAAATTGGGTCCATGTAAGACAGAGTATTGGGTGGAACAGTCACAGATTTTTCAAAGAGTGGATTCAAATGCTGACAGAGCTGATTTATTGTGTTGTAGGTAGAGGAGGCACTAGAAGCTGTGAAAAATGCAACCAATGAGCAAGATTTAGCCAATCGCTTCAAGGAGTTTGGGAAGGAAATGGTTAAACTGAACTATGTCGCTGCGAGGCGACAGCAGGTGAGTACAGGAGTGGCTGGAAATGTCCATCTTCATTCTAAAGTTCTCCTGGTTTATGTCCAAGTCTGGTTTAAAATGTACAATGAACCACTAATTGCTATGTCATGGCCTGTAATTTAATTACACTGATTAGTTTTGAATGTGATGATGTTTTTCAGAAGTGCCGTTTCTTTAAAAGTACCTTCCAAGAGGCCTCAATTAATAACAGATTGAAGGGTGAAAAGGGAAGTGATTCAGGAGGTTAAGGATAGTTTTAATTTGGTGATTATTCCCATTTAGTTTTAACCCATGCAGATTTCAGGTCACTCTGACAGCTGGTAAAGCACGAGCTCTTTGCTAGTTCAGTATAATTCAAGTTCAGGAGGAACAGAAATTCACTTTGTGCTTAAAACCATTATTAATAAATTTCAGATTTTTTAAAAAAAATTATTCATTTATCCATTTATTCATTGGTAAGACAGCTGAAAAAGAGACCAGAAAGTAATGATAACAATGATTCAAGGCTGGTTATTGTACAACTTTGCAATAAGGATAGCTTTCCCCTGAACCCTGCTCTTTTCAAGACTCTGTAGAGTTGTATAAGGTCTTTCCAACTTCAATTGTATTTGAATACCACCAATAATTCAAGGATGTGCCATCTTTGTGCTGCATTGAACACTGGATTTGGAAAGCTGGCTTTCCATATTCATCCACCTATTTACCTTATTTTCTGAATTGCAGTAATGGCAATTTTCTTCTGAATCATGATTGTGGGGCTTTTTTATGAAAAATAGTCTTTTTAGAGTTATACTAAAATTGAATCATTGAATATCTCAAGTTGGAAGAGACCTGTAAGGATCATCAAGCTCGTCACCCTGCTCCTTGCAGAACTACAGAAAGCAAACCATCTAAGGCAAATAAATGAAAATGTAAAATCTAGGCACTGTATGGAGAATGCTCTTCAGTACATTCAGACACTTCCCCTGTGGAAATAGAGCTGCAAACATGGGAAAAAGAGGAAAATGTGAAAGTTAATGGATGTCTGTGTCTCTTAAGTTCTCATTGAAGAATATGCCAAAAATTCTCTCTGAAGACTGTTACCTGTCAGCTGCATGTGGTTGAAATTAATCAGTGGGTAGAACCTTTAAATCCAGAATATCTGGGTCCTTTTTCAGTGTTGGTGATGGATTCCATGTGTGGACATAAATAAACTATTCAGCTCTCCAGACTGGTTTGTTCATAGTTTTAAAGTAGAAGTATTAATATTTTTTTTACTTCTAATGAATATTATGAGGACTGTCTTAATGTTTGTGAGGCTTTCAAGGACAACAAGATATACACTATAACTGAAAAAAAAATCAGGGAATAATAATAATGATAACATATTGTGCAGTATCTGATTCTTGTTGTCAGAGGCAACAAAAGAAAGTATCTGTCATGTTCTAAATAAAAAAATCTAAATTATGTGAGCAATAGAGCAAAATATGAAGGGAACCAAAATAGAAATATTGAGAGGCATATTTAGTAGGTTTTTAATAAATTAAATCATATGGTATTAGGCCATAGGTGGGACTGGGTGATCTCGAAGCTCTTTTCCATTTCTTGTGATTTACCTGTTAATTCCTTATTTAATTCCTATGATTCTATGGTATTAATTTATGTAATACTTCTAATTTGATTTTTTTAAAGGTCTACCTTATGATAATTTTAAAAGGACATGGGTATAGTAATTAGAAAAACAAGGCACTTGCTGCAACAGGAGTGCTGCCATTATTGGAATCAGCAGAAGGAATCCAGTTTGGGAAGAGTAAATTTTGAATGTTTTATGTACATTTGTAGTGGGTTTTTGCAAAAGGGAAGTGACTCTTAGGTAAGGTACTGAGAGCAGAATGTAACAGCTGTAGTGACACAGGAGGACTTGATGTCCCTGTGCAGGAGGAGAATTCTTTCAGTGATTTATGGTGGGTTTTGCCATGGATTCCATCTCTGCCGAACCACTGCAAGGTGTCCATGCCCGCATGCTCAAGGCAATGCATTCTAACACAACTCCAACCTTTAATTTCCAACTCTAAAAGCTGTGTGCTCTCATGCAGGAGCTGAAGGATCCTCACTGCAGGGACGAGATGGCCGCGGCGCGCGGGGCGCTGAAGAAGAACGCCACCATGTTGTACACGGCCTCGCAGGCCTTCCTGCGCCACCCCGACGTGGCGGCCACCAGGGCCAACAGGGACTACGTCTTCAAGCAGGTGCAGGAGGCCATTGCTGGCATCTCCAACGCTGCCCAGGCCACCTCGCCCACCGATGAGAACAAGGGCCACACTGGCATCGGAGAGCTCGCTGCTGCTTTGAATGAGTTTGATGTGAGTATCAGCTGGGTGTTATTGGAGTAATTACCGATATAGCTGGATGGGACATGCCTGAGCTTGTCTGGGCCTTGGTGCTGAGCCAAAAAGTGGCAATTGTGGTGTTTTACCCCAGAGACACTACAGGCTAGCTGGATGTGGCAGCTGGGTGCTTGGAGGCAAGTACAGGTGTGCAGGAGCTCAGGTTTCCCTGTGCTGGAGAAGCTTTAAGGTGATGGTGAAGGAAAGGAGTTGGTTCTGCTGGAGGGTTTCAATTCAGAGCTTTATTCTGGCCCACAGACCTCTGAATTCAGCAACAGCTCCAACAGAACTCTCTGAACCACATGGTTTGCTTGCCCTTTTACCCGGGGGAGAGGGGGAGAGAAGGAATATGGGGACCACCAACAAGGTATGGAAGGGAGGTCTCAAGGGACAGAGGACACCTGGATGGCCCAGTGTCCCCCAGGGGTGGAGGGCATCTTTTGAATTCTGCCAATCAATGCCCTTCTGGAATGCCAGGATTGGCAGACAGTGCTGGGCACGGGACAGAGTGTGGAATGGAAAGTGATTGACATGCCTGGGGAAGGAATCTTCAGGGAGAAACCTGGGGTATCTGAGGCAAACCGTGACATCTCACTGAGACATCACACCACAACAGGGTGTGGAGAATGAGGTGTTTCTCCTCACAATCTACAGAGCTTTTAACTAAGTTGTTCTTATCCAGGACTCAAATTCCCCTTTTCATTCACATCCATTTCCTCAGACCACAGAGGTAAAGTAAAATCAAGCCACCAGTTCGGGGAGGAATGGCACATCTGACTTAATGAATATTAGAAGGCTAATTAATTACTATAATATTTTATGCTATATTACACTCCATTTAAACTGAATCTGCACAAGCACCCGACTCAACTGCCCAGAATCTTGTGACTGTCTGCTGAATGACAGTTTGGATGCGTGCTTGGCCCTGATAGGCCAAGGAAACCCAACACCATCACTCTGGGTAAACAGTCTCCATATTGCATTCTACTTTGGTACAACACAGGAGCAGCGACTGAGATAAGAATTGTTTTGATTATTCTTTTCTCTGCTTCTCTCACTGCTTCTCTCAGGTTCAGAGAATGTGAATTCCACACAGAGGCAAAGGGCAGACATAGATTTGTGTTGGTTTTGGTCAGGAATAATTGTTTGCTGCTAATGGACTGGAATTACAAGGGGTTATTTATGTTCATAAGCAGTGGCTTGGATAGTGAGAAAAATAATTTCTTGTTATCCTTAGGATCCTTGACAAATCTCACTACATGGCCATAGAAAATGCAAAGTCTGATTAATCTGGCAGTTTAGTTGTGACCAAGATCTGAGGTTGTTTGAGTGGTAAAATCATGTTTGTCTAGCAAGTCAGGAAGACAAGACAAAAAAATGAAAATGGTGATGGAGCTCAGTGTCCTGGAAACATTAACATTCAACTTGAATCTTGAGTTATGTTAATCAAAGGCATGGAAAAAGCATCTTTCAAACAGAGTTGATAGCAGTCAGTTCAGCTGTGGGCAAAGTCCTGCAGCCTCCAGCAGTAGATAGAGTTTCGCTTAAGTAACTTTCCTGACAGCTAATTGTTTAGCTGTTAATTTCATTAGCAGTCCTGTCTGACGATCTCTCCCTGTTTCATGTGTGAGGATTGTACTTCAGGCAGTGAACAAAAAGGTTATTGCAGACAGTCTCTGACAATAATTTCATCTTTCATTTTGACTTAAGGCAAAGACTTGCTGAAGTTATTACTGGGGAGTGGTGTCCTTTTCACTTTGATTAAGACACAAGGTTGCAATCCCAGCATCTGTCACATCAGGAGCTGCTCAGTCCTGCTGCATTTAGGGCTGGAAGTGGAGGTGCAGTGCAGGTGGTTCCTCTCACAGCATGTTGGTCTGGGCTTGTCTCCTCCATCTATTCTTACATCTGTGGCTTTTCCTGCTCAGTCACTGTGGGTTAAGATTTAAGGAATTCCTCAGGGTTTTCAGGTCTCTGGTTGGTAAGATCCTGGGAATAATAGTCCTGTGTGGTCTGACTGTGCTCCAGCTTTTGTGTGGGACTTTGCACATTATGGACAGCAAAGGTTTGACAAACAGGGACAGAAAACATGTGATTTCTCAGTCCCAAACTGATGATGCTGCTGCTGCCTTCTGGAAAAAGGCTGTTGTTCAATGCAAAGAGAGTTGTTGTGCTTAGTGAAAATAAATGTAGTGAAGACTGTGCAAGACATCAGATATTGTCCCCTGCCTGTATAAGAATATTCATCCTTTTTCTCCTCAGGTAAAGTCTTTTCCACTTTCAGTGATGGTGCAGGAGCCATGCATGTGTGTGGGAGATGTGTAGCCATAGTAGCGTGTTCTGTTCATGATTATGTGTGAAAAAACAGCCTTTTTGGGGAATTCTCTTTCTTATTTTAGGAAACTAAATGAAAACTTTGACTTATGAGGAGACAGAGGCTGAAACAATTGTATTACTCATTTTCTAAGTCACTGCTTAGCTGTTGAAGGAGATTTATTCACACCTAATGGTGCATCAAAGATGATATTCCCTAGCCTCCAGGGAAAAAGATGATATTCCCTAACCTGCAGGGAAAGTCAAAATTTATAGCTGGTGATGGTGGGATGATTGTGAATTTACCTTTATGTTTTACTAGCAATATTAGCAGACTAGTGAAACTGTGTCATGAGTTAAAAGGTGGTGGAGAAAAAAACATTGCTTTTTATGGTGGCACTGCATCACTTCTGCAAGGGAAAGGAACTTTGTATATTCTAATGAAAATAATTTTACAGAATATTTATTTTACAGTCTCAGTCATAATAATAATTTTATATTTGGTGGGAAGTGCTTACTAATCCCTGCATTATCTGCCAAGATGATGACTCTGTATTAAAAATAAGCTTACATTTTTTTCCATTATTTTAACACTTCTCAGCCCTCATTATTTCAGATTTTGGAATCAGTGTTCTGTGGCTTAGAGCTTCAAATAACTGCAGTGTGAATAATTTGAACATTTTCTCAGTCAAAATATCATCACATGGAATACAAATAATTATTCTACCTATTTGAAGCACAGCCATTGTGTTTAACTAGGTCTCTTGATAATTGTCTCCCTCTATTCACTGGGGGGTTGTGTAGAGTCACCTGTGAGTTATTAGCAGCAAAGTTTTGAAGATAGTTGTCATTTATTGCTTCTCAGAGATAATTTATGTAGAAATAAGGAGAGCTCGCAAATCTGTTCCTTAGTAGATTTTTTTCCTTTAAAGTCCTATTTGAAGTTGATTGATGACAAAAGAATGTGTTTAATGCCTTGTTGCTTTGTCCTTTCACTTCCATGTTTCTGCTTTACTCTTAGATCATTTAAAAATAGGTATTCCTGGTCTTACTAGTAATTTATTATTGAAATTTGGCTTGTATTTTATGCTCATGAAATATCTCTGAGCCCTTAATGCAAATGGTGGTGCATGGTTTATTTTCCCCAATGATATTTAGCCAAATTTATGGAAGTTGCATAGTTAAATTTTTGAAGAACTTACTTTGAACTCTGAAAAGGCTCTGTTTTCACTCAGGAAATGGCAGTTTTGATCTGGTAAGCTTTCACCTCTTCTGGTTATGGAGGGACTGCTTTGCTGGCACATGTTCAGCTGTGGGATGGATTTATCTGGTGTCCTCCCCACAGCCCTCATGGTGTGCAGCAGAGACAGGACCTCCACATCAAGCTGGAGTGTGGTGGGGAGGGAGATAAAAAGACAATGAAATTATTGAGTGAGAAGAATTGCAATGAGAAAGACCAGGAAACTGTGCTGGAATAAAACTGAGATGAAGATGGATGGCATCGACGCTGGTGTGTGTTTGGTAAAACAAAGGGGTAAAAATATATCTAGAAATAAAGTAAAGGAGTAACTTTGTGAAGTTGGGGAAGGGTCTGGAGCACCCGGAGGAGCTGAGGGAGCTGGGAAGGGGCTCAGCCTGGAGCAAAGAGGGATCAGGGGGCCCTTGTGGCTCTGAGGGGACAGCCAGGGGGGTCGGGCTCTGCTCCAGGGGACAGGGACAGGATAAGGGGAAACAGCCTCAGCTGTGCCAGGGAAGTTTAGATTGGATATCAGAGACTTTTTCTTCACCCAAAGGCTTGTCCAGCCCTGGCACAGCTGCCCAGGGCAGTGTTGGATTCCCCAAGCCTGGGGGAATTTAAAAGCCATGGGGATGTGGCACTTGGGGACATGGCTTATTGGTGGTCTTGGCAGGGCTGGAGTTGGACTGGATGACCCAAGAGAGCTTTTGCAATCCAAACAATTCTGCCATTCCATGATTGGCTGTGCCACAGCAAGGGCTGCACACAGATGGTTGGGGAATTTGTTCTCCATCATGGAATGGAGAGGGGGCAGTGACAGGCAAAAATAGGATTTACTGGGCACTTGGGATCTCTGGTGAGTAGGAGGGTGCCTGCTCTCAGAATATGGACTGGGATTACAATTCCTGAGCCCCGAGGAGTGGAGCTGTGTCAGTGGGATGTGCTGACAACACCTCAGAAGTGCTAATCGCAGTGGAAATTCAGATTCTAGGCGTTTCAGACCTACAGGGGTTTACATTTTAAGCAATTCTAAATAATTTCCTTTAGATTTGGATATGAAAAGTGAGGGCAATCATTCTTGTACAGTGCTGGGAGGGTGGGTGTAATGGTGTTGTAAATATAAAGCTGTTTACTATGCATGCACCATAACTCCATAAAAGGATTATTCCCGAGTTTGAAGCAAGGCTTGAATTATCTGCAATGAAATTAAATAGAATTTATAAATCCTCTGATTTAGAGCAGGGAGGAGAAGATACCTAAAGGAAAAAAGGACCAAAACCCCTTTCCTCCACTGATGCCAAAAGCAAATATCTGTTGTTTTCTGTATTGCTCCAGAAAGAACTGATTAAATGGCTTAGCTGACTTTTCTCCCTGTCTTTTGTGTTTGTGTGTGCAACTTCTGCCTCTAACAATGGAATAAAATGGT